GCCTAACAGCGCTCGTTTATCTTGGTTAAATGTTTAAATTAATACTGTGAAATGCATGAAGTGTTTTATGTCTGTTTATTTTAGTCAAGTCGTGTTGGTTTGAGAAGGCTAAATTGATCAAACATAATGCTCAACTCACTGTCTGCCGCTGCCGCTTGGTCGTTCCTTTAATAAACAAAAACTTGAATTTAACAAACATAAAATGTTCCAAACGTATTTCTAAATTAACTTAATAAAGAAACAAAAAGAAATATGACCACTCCAAATAAAAGGCCCAACACAAATGTGTTGGAGTTTCACAAAGTAACAAGTGCATAAACTTGAAGAACAAAGGTAAACAATATGAGAAGATTAAGATGAATTGCTTTTATGATACTTTGTCACATTTGAATAGTTGCACTTATACAAACACAGATACAACATACACAACACACAATGCCTACCAACCCCAAAACGAGTTAGGTTAAATGCATAGATACCCTTAAAAATCCAACATTTTAATTTAATAAGAGTTACATTAAAACAAACAAACAAAAACAAGGTTTTACTAGGGTCAGGATAGTAGAAAAGAAACTGCTTCAAGTTCCTGAGGTATCTTTGAAGACAGCTTATAATCCTCAGTACTTAGATGCTGTCTACTGCAGCTACGACAAGCATTTTGTTCTTAAAATACTAAAATTGGTAAGCCTAGATCCCGTTCCTTTGTCTGACTACACTTTGAATGACTGAAGATGCTGGAAAAGACAAAATATGGATTCATGAACTCATATGCATATAGCTAAAAAGAAAATAGGCTCCCTTTACGATAGGTGGCCAGAACATGAAGCCTAATGACGCTGATTCCCCCATGGTCACAGACTCAGTTCATCCTGAAATAGCAGCGACACATTCCTAGATTGCATGTGTCTACATACACAGCTAAGTGAGCTACTGCAACAAAACCATAAGAGATGCACAGCTGTATGCATATAGCTAAAAAGAAAATAGGCTCCCTTTACGATAGGTGGCCAGAACATGAAGCCTAATGACGCTGCTTCCCCCATGGTCACAGTTCATCCTGAAATAGCAGCGACACATTCCTAGATTGCATTTGTCTACATACACAGCTAAGTGAGCTACTGCAACAAAACCATAAGAGATGCACAGCTGGAACTGAAGTCCTTTAAGTACCTCTGTAGCCTCCTGCGCCTAGAAAGCCTTGAAGAGCTGCATATTTGGCTGCTTTTGCTATAAAGAATCATACAACACACATGTACATGCAATAAATACTTGTGATTGGTTGTGGATAATGTACAGGTCTAGACAAAAATCTAATTTTATCATTTGCTGCATTTGAAATATTAGCTAACAATGAGTGTGATGAAGCATCACATACATTGCTGAGGTGTAAGTGGAGCAGTTCCAGGTCCCCCTGCACCAGTGCCACCATAACCTACAATACAATATAATATAAGCACAACTCTTCATTAATCACACTGAACCAATAACATTGATCACTGTAACACATTGGTACAATAAACCATCACTCACCACCTAAATTTTGCTCTAGTGTTTGATTCAGAATGTTTTTTAAGGATAATTTGGATGTATCTGTCGGCTATGACTTTTGTCATGATTTGGTTTCATTTTTTTGTGAGGAATCCAAAGTATTAAAGTAAACTGATTGTAAATGATCACAATTCGGCATTTTATAAATGACTTCCATTGCATAGTATCGTTAGCTTTCTTTCCACACACATACATTGCAATATGTCCATATGTATGCAACCTTGTTGTGTACAGAACAATCATACAAATTCATGTAATTCATTCAGAACTGTAATGGAAAATTTCTTAAATGTGTCCCTGTCTTTATTCTCATTTAAATACCTAGAGTATTTAAGAGAGATAGTTCACCCCAAAATAAAAATTCTTCATAATTTCTCATGTCGTTCATCTTTGAAAATACAAATGAAACACAAAAAGCACATCAGATATGGCCAGTGAATGCTCAAACGTGCTAACTTGATGTACTAGAACCGATGAGGTTTGTTCTTGCGTCATGCAAGCACGATCAAGCTTCCACAAGAATTAATGAGGTTTGACCTAAGCCTCAGACCTTGTTTGATGTGTTCTAATTGTGCGTTGATCAATGTTTATATGTGAATAAAAGCCTAAAATAAAATCTCTTGATCAAATAAAGTGATTGTGTCTCTTCAAACACACACACACACACAAAACATTGTTTCAGTTGCTCTATTCATATGAATTACTTATACAATGTCTATATGTATTTTTTAATGTGTGAAAGTTTTGGTTGCATAGACTTTAAATGGATGGGCAAAAAGGATGAGATCCAATGCAATTATGTATCCTGATATCTGCTCTTAGAGAGAAAAATGGAAGGTGTGGATAAGCCCATTTCTCCAACAGGCACAAGGAGAACTGAGGAAGGATATAATAGCTCACCTGGCTGATAGCCCTGACCACCCAGTGCACCTGTGCCAAAGCCTTTAGGACATTGAAACAAAGGCAAGTAAATATAATCCATCAAAATTTAACATTCTGTATGCTTATTCATTTGGTGAGACAAGAATAAGAATTTGACAAAAAACATGCACTAAGTTTAGTGAATTTGCCTTATTAACATATTAATCTTAAGTGACAATGCTGAATACAATGTAACTTTACCTCCACCGGTTCCTAGTGGGCTTCCAACACCTCCCATGCCTCCAGCTGCACCCAAACCTCCATACCCTACAATACAAAGAATATGTCAACATTATAATCATATAATAGCAAAGATGTCAGTAGTGTTTCAATTTCATGTTGCCACAGCCATATCTGATCGCCAGGTATCTGCCAGAGGTATTAACTGATGTGAATGATTCTGTGCAAATTTATTACTTATACTCACTCCCCTGTGAAAAACTCTTTACTTTTTTACTTTTAAAAAACTACTTATTACGAAAAATAACACACTTTAAAAGAATATACTAAAGTGCGAACTTAATGTGATGTTTTTGGACACTTAATCACATAATATTTATAATTAAATAAAAATGTATTATATTTTAAATATATATTAAATGCAACTTTAAAGTGCTTTTTTGACCGGTTTATGTAGGACTTGATTACATCTTTATATGTAATTTAATTTTATTGTGCTGACAAGTATTCATGGTAAACTACAATATACTTGAATGCAATTTCTATTGAAACTTGCATGTCACATATTTAAATATATTTCTAATTACACATTTGTAATGATGAAGGTGAACATTTGTTGTTTCTGCAAGTCAATTTTTTAAAATATACTTAAGATGTGAAGAGCGCTGCAAGTCCACATTAAATACAGTTAACACTTCTTTTTCACAAGGGCTCTCCTACCATCTTCCGAGCCCAATTAGTAGGTTTATCATTATATTCAGACCCCTAAGCTAATGTAATGACATTGTATTAATAAGCCACAATTATATTAATATTTTATAAAAACAAGAACCTGATTTCCCAGGTTTCCCAGCTCCAGCTCCCAGGCCACCACCTGGATATCTGGCACCTAAAAAAAAAAAAAAAAAATTCATCAATGTGTTTTTTTTTTTTTTTTGCACTACTGTCAAACTTATGTTTAATGTATATTAAAGTACATGATACCTCCACCCAGTCCTCCAACTCCTCCAGGACCTCCAGTACCTCCTGGTCCTACTCCTAGACCACCACCAATGCCTCCAGCACCTCCTGGTCCTACTCCTAGACCACCACCAAGTCCTCCAGGACCTCCACCAATGCCTCCTCTTCCAGCCCCACCCAATGTTCCAGCTCCTCCATAGCCTCATAAAAAATTGGGATTATAAATTTTGTCTAACCTACAAAGGAATGGTTATTGTAGTAGTAAAGTGTTGATTTGATGGATTACTTTTAGATGGTTTTACTGCGCCAGGACCATAGCCAAGCCCTTAATAAATAAATAAATAAAATATTAAAATGTAAAAAAAAAAGTGTGTGTAGTCAAATTTTCAGAAGAAAAAACATTTCAGAAACTTACCAATTCCAGACCCTCCAAGTCCACCAGCACTGCCTGGGCCACCACCATAACCACCTGGACCACCTCCATAGCCAAAGGGTCCTGGTCCATATTCGCCTGGGCCTCCAAGCCCACCAAGTGTGCCTGCTGCCCCATAAACTTTCATCAAAGTGATAAATTAGTTATTTAACAGTCTTTCCAGTTCAGTGTGTAAAATACAACCAAATTCCTTTTTCATCATAAGAATTGTGGAATAGCTAATTGTTTTCTGGTACCTTTTCCTTGTTTGCTGCCCACTGCAGCCCCACTGGGGAACCTGAAGCCTGCAAAAAAATTATACACACAGTTCTCAGCAAAACAATAATTGTCAGTACTGGTACTTAAAAATATAAGGAATGTGTTGTTTTTTTTTATCAGAATTTTTTTTACCAGTCCCTGGTTGGATCCCACCAGCTCCTAAACCTCCTGCTCCTCCATAACCTACAACAGATTTACAAATCCTTATACATAGGCACAAGCTAATTACATTCTTTTGTAAATTTTAAGTGCACTTTATTCAGCTCCACCTCCTGGTAGTAAACCACCACCTCCAGGCAGAAGTCCAACTCCTCCCGCTCCAGCTGGACCCGTTCCACCTACACCTCCAACTCCAACTCCAAGAGCTCCAGTTCCACCTGTACTGCTATAAACTAGAAGAAACGCATTGATTGTAATACAGTCCTTGTTTTACAAACAGAGGAAAACACAGCTAATAGACATTTTACAGCTCAAGATTTTCACAGTAAATCACCTTTAGGGGGTTTAACACCTCCCCCAATTCCTCCTGGACCTCCTCCAACTGCACCTGTAACTCCAACAACTCCTCCTGGACCTCCACCAATTCCCCCTGGAACTCCACCAACTCCTCCCGGAACTCCACCAACTCCACCTGGCCCACCACCAACTCCTCCTGGACCTCCACCAACTCCCCCTGGAACTCCACCAACTCCCCCTGGAACTCCACCAACTCCTCCTGGAACTCCACCAACTCCCCCTGGAACTGCACCAACTCCCCCTGGAACTCCACCAACTCCCCCTGGAACTCCACCAACTCCTCCTGGAACTCCACCAACTCCCCCTGGAACTGCACCAACTCCCCCTGGAACTCCACCAACTCCCCCTGGAACTCCACCAACTCCTCCTGGAACTCCACCAACTCCCCCTGGAACTGCACCAACTCCCCCTGGAACTCCACCAACTCCCCCTGGAACTCCACCAACTCCTCCTGGAACTCCACCAACTCCCCCTGGAACCCCGGAACTCCACCAACTCAACCTGGCCCACCACCAACTCCTCCTGGACCTCCACCAACTCCCCCTGGAACTCCACCAACTCCACCTGGACCACCACCAACCCCGCCTGGACCACCACCTACACTTCCAGGTCCTCCTTCAATAGTGCCCGGAGTATCTCCACGTCCAGCAATGGCTCCACCTCCAATGCCTACAGTAAGATAAATAAAATAAATCTTTTTACAAATGAAAAAGCACCTGCTTGCCCAAATATATAGAGACAATAAGAGTAAAGTGAATGGCATGAAGTACCTGGGGGTTTTAGTGGTTTGGCTCCTGGTAGTGTTCCACTGCCGCCAACTCATAAGAAAGAACAACATTATTTCAAGTTATTCAGTCAAACTGGAACATGCATTTATGAATGAATAAAGCATAAAAGCCTCTTCAAGTGATGTTAACCACAACATCACTTATTTCATATAAACTGAAAATCACTCAAAAACCACTATTCTAAATGCCTAAAATAGGAACTTTTCAGGGGAACCAATAAAAAAATGCTCGTTCTTAGGAATTGCTTTATATCTGACTAACCTTAAGTCTTCTGGAAAAAAAGTTATAAACTAAAAGTTGTCTCTGTGTCATACAGATAATGTTGTGAATTTTCAATGCAAAATATCTTTACATTAAAAGTATTCCAAAGCTCAATACATTTCAAAAGAATACGTTTTATAAGCTAGGACGACCACATGCAAGAGACTCCTCCACCACTAGATGGAGCCGTAACATTAGCAAGTTTTGAACATGATGTAGGTGGATAATTTTGTGTAAATAGGCTGCTGAAGAACTCAACTACCACTAGCAACTACTAAAATAAGAAACAGGGAACGTAATCTTGAGCTCAGTGATCTCTTCTCATGTGAGGTCAGTAATCCATTTTCAGGTTACGATGACGGATCTTACTCTCTGGTCGTGGCAATCCCGTTCCACCTAAAAATGGAGAATGTCAATAAGGTAAATAGGAATTTTCAGACGTAATAAATGGCTGTTCATTTACAGTATTGCACAACTAAACTAAATACAAACCTGGTACAGTTCCAGAAACACCTTAAACATGAACAAAAAATTTTGGTCATTCATTTATTAATTTTGTATTCACATGTAGACCTATCTCTTAAAAATTCATTTTCAACACTTAATAAGCAATTACAAATCATTCTGAACATACAATGTTTTTTTGATATGCGTTTGATATGTGGTTTTGCTAAATTATGGTCTTCATGAATAAACAGCTGTTAGCCTACATAGTATACTGATGGCAATACTATGAATTCCACACTATAAATATAAAGAACTCGTTTAAGGAATTAGTTTGCCAATAATAATAAAGTTCTGACACAATTTACTCCTAAATCTGCATGACTCTCGTTCTTCTGTGGACCAAAAAGCTAAATTTTTAAAGAATATTCTGACAAAATATACAAATATCATAAAAGTGGAGGGTGGAAAACAAAGTATGACAGGCAGCACCTAGCACCTTCAAGTCAATCAAGTACCTCCTCTTTTCCCTTATCTGTTCAGCGTTTAAGACAATAAAAGCATGATTTCATGGTGCAAGTTAAGCCATGCTTCAAACTTGAAACTAGGCACTAATAACCCAAAATAGGATACTTAAGCACTGTGATCAACCAGCCACTCAGTGAAGTGCAGTTGGCCAGGCATTGTGTCTGAACAGACATAATCTGGTGAACTTTTTATGTCTATAGGCTTGTCTGGGTTTTTGAGTGTCACATAAGATGCAATACTTTTTATTCTATGCAAATTAAATGTGAGCTACAGACAAATAGAAAAATGACCAAAAGTAGAAGACAAAACGCAATAGATTAACATGATGTCAACAAGCTTACTGAACAGGAAAGGTCTACCTGGTTTTTCTCCAGCTAAAATGGGTATTCCTGTCCCAGCAACCCCATCAAGTCCATCAGCATCAATGGACCCACCAGTAACACCTGAAAAAGATTACATACTGCTCAGTTTCTATCCTTTTAAAAAGTTGGAAATCCAACTTAAAATACCACCTCCGATAGACCCACCTGATCCCTCTATTGGTCCGCCAGATTCTGAAATAATCACAAAATAAAACTGGTGGCTAAAAGGTGGAAACGCCTGCTCATTTTTTCTTACAATGTCTAAAGGACAATTGTTTTATCCTAGATGTATGGGATCGGATGGGATGTAAAAAAAAATACATAAATAAAAATAAAAGGAGGAAGGAAGAAAGAAAGAGAAAAGAAAAATAAATATTTCTTACCGGTCTTGGGAGCTTTTGTTCCACCTGTGTGTTCAACAAAATGTTAAAATTACAATGCAGGAACAAACAAATTTAACAGCTAAATAACAAATAATATATATATATATACACACTATACATATGTGTATCTTAAAGTACATTCCAAATTAATTGCATTACCTCCATCAACTCCAGGTTTAGGTCCTGCTCCACGATCTGTGCCGGTAGCAGCTGTACTACCTGTAATTGCTGTTCCTCCTATGATGCCTGGTACCCCAGATTTAAATTGAAAATTGGAATAGCAATATTTCACTGGAGACATGGATTGTTAGATGATATATAACCATAGATCACCAACTCACCATATTTGTCTGGTTTGGTTCCTGAAACTGGTGTACCTCCAGCCCCACCTAAACCACCTGTGATGTAACGCTGAGCATGTAAACAAATTCCTATCTGTATCTATTAAGTGTTATTTAGTCCTCTTTTAGCAGTTATCATCACCAGTTCCAATTCCAGTTCCTGTGGCCCCAGTTCCACCAGTTGCTGGTACCGACCCACCCAACACACTTCCGACCCCACCAGCTGGTTGTCCTATTTGATGGAGATGCATCGGGTCAATTCTTAGCCTGTAAACATGTGACATTTTAATTATAAAAATCAAATACCATAAGTGGTTTACCATATTTAGGTGGTTTTTGTGCTCCTCCATACCCTTTAGAATGACATGAACAAATCAGCAGGTTCACCCACCAATGCTTAGACCACATATTTCAAGTTTAGTGATTAGTATTGCATCTATTGAAAGTTTTTAAAACTTTACCTCCATATCCAGCACCAGTCCCAAGCCCTCCAGGCAGAACTAAAAAAGAGAAGTATTTATTTATTTGAATTGCATTGTATGGACAAAAAAAATCAACAGCACTGAGACATTTCTCAAATTATCTTATTTTATGTTCCACTGAAGAACTGAAATCAGCTTCATGTCAGCTTCACATACCGCCAGGACCTCCTACCAATCCTGGTACACCTCCTGCTCCCAAGACACCTCCAGATCCGGGTAAACCTGTCAAGGTATGTATGGGTTTTATTCTCTGTTAATGTTGTATTATTCCAAGTAGGGCTGCACGATAAATCGCATGCGATATTTAACGCGCATCTTGTCAGAAAAGCGGTTCTGTAATCAGCGGTAAATCTCCATCACGTGCGTGCTTTCACATTGAGCAGCATTTACTACACAGAGCCGTTGTTCACTGACGAGCGCTGTAGTTTAGAAAATGGTAATAAAATATGACAAGAACTCAGAGTTAAACTGTGTCAGAACAAATTCATCTTGATAATGTCAGATAACACTTAAGCAAAACATTGTCAGGTCAAAGTGTCTGAATAATTTTTGGTCCCAAATTTTAATCAGTTTTATTGGTAGTCCACTGTATGAAGATTTTTTGGGTATAAGATGTCACAGTTTACGTTATTTTGCTATCCTCACTTACATAAATGAACTATAGTTTCCTGCACCCACTCCACTAGTAAAAAAAAATATCAAAAATTATATCTGGTGTCTGAATAATTTTTGTTTTTTTAGTTAATAATTTACCCTTACATTTATAATAAGTTGATTTTAAACACCGTTTAATTCTTAAAATATTTGTAATGTGCATTAAATATGAATATATAACTGAAAAAATACATTGATGAATAATAAATGATATATTTATAATTGTATTCATAAAATATTTGGTAACAATTTTGACAATTAGAATGTACAGTGTATTAATCAATGATCAAGTGGCACTTGCAATATACATGTAAGCGTATGTAGTGTATTTCAACTTGCCATATTTAGCTGCTTTTGATCCAGGTCGATATCCTATCGGAACATTACATGTAATTTTGAAAGATAAGTTGATCAGGTACAGTTTTAATAATATAGCTTTTCTAATTCCTGTGTAAATGACCTATTCTGACTGGTTTAAATTACCTCCAGCACCTGTTCCATAACCAGGCCCAAACCCTCCTCTGCTTCCTGCTCCAACAGCACTACCAGGAAGTCCTGGTCCAGCAAATCCAGACCAGGGACCTCCTACAGTCCCTGGACCATAACCACCAACTGGTCCTGCCCCCGTGCCAAATCCTCCTGCTGGACCGGTTCCTACCTGACCCTGCAGACCAAGTCCTGGAGCACCTCCACTACCACCAGGACCTACATGTGGATTAAAATAATTTAACAAGTGTTGATGCCTAATTGTGTGTGTGGAAGGGGGGGATTGGTTTAAAATATCCTACCATATTTTAGGGCCTTTGGTCCACCTGGATATGCTGCATTGGACGCAAAGTATAAATGTAGATCTGGAAACACACAGAACGCCTGAACTGCATATATGTAATATAATGTCTGTCAGCATACCTCCAGAGCCAGGTCCATATCCTCCAGCAGGTACTCCTCCTGGTCCATAACCACCCGCAGGTGCCCCTCCAGGTCCGTAACCACCAATTGGTGCCCCTCCTGGTCCATAACTGCCAATAGGTGCCCCCCCAGGTCCAATTCCTCCACTTGGTGTTCCTCTAGCAGTTCCAACACCTGACACTGTTCCACTACCAAGTGACCCTCCTAATCCTCCAGGCAATCCTGTTCCACCAGCTCCACCAGTAACCCCTTTTTGCAAAATGTATAGATAAAATGTAATTTATAATTTGTATTTTTCTAAATGGATACTAAACTTTGGAGATTATTTAACTTCCCCCTACCATATTTGCGAGCTTTGGCCCCAGAGTATCCTAGAACATAAGAAGTCAATATTGGAGAAATATGATTTAGCAGTGTTTAAGCTACAGTTCTGTACAGTTCTTTATATGAAACTTTAAACTTCTTATTTCTACAAAGCATTCAAATATGAGCACAGCAACATATTTATAGCCCAGCTTGTGCTTTTATGGGGACCTTCACTGATCCAAATCTTTACCTCTGTTCACCTGCTGATAAAAAAAAAAAAAACTCTAGTCCAACAACTTCAAGATGTCACCTCAAAAAACCTTAGCCAGGCCAATGTGGTCATGCATTAACACATTGGTGAGCTACAGAGAAAGAAGAGCAGATTATCTAAATACTACTTATGCTTAAAATCAACATCCAGAAGATAATCAACATTTTGCTCTAACCACGTTAAACCTACATTGCTGTGTGCTTGAATGATACAGTTATCCATTTGGATAACACTGATGAGACATTAGAATGTGCTCAAGAATGTGATGGCTAAATTTAGTCAACCAAAGAAAGGTCATCTGGGGATATACTTGGCTAGATATGCTACTTAGGTTTCCAGATTGGCCAGGGTTTAATTAAACTCCAAAAAAGGTTGAAGCTATCATTTTCTTATGACATTGCATTACTATGGTTGGTGGGTTAGAGAAAACTACACTCTAAAGAAAAGTTTGTAAAAATAGGGTATATTTGATGCAAATATAATAGATATAATGATGCAAACTTCAAAAATGAGGCAAATCCAAATTCTGCTGTAAAGCAGCTGTAGCAAGACAATAGTGTTATTATTCAGCGCCAGTCAGTTCAGTGATGGTAACTGTAAAGTTCATTCATTAGGAAACAAGTTAAATTCAGCTATAAGCAGCTCTACTGAAGACAGTGGTGTCGTTATTCAGTTTGAGTCAGTTCAGTGTTGATTCAGTTCAGTTCAATAACAGTGTCAATGTTGCAAATTTCATCGGTTCTGAACAAATTTGATCAGCCCAGTGTTTGAAGTCATTAGAAACACTGATTTACCTCCAGGTCCAAATGCACTTCCCGGAACACTACCAGGTCCAAGGCCACCACCGGGTACACCTCCTGGACCATAACCCACACCAGGGACACCTCCTTGTCCAACCCCAATTCCTGGTATACCCCCTGCCCCAACTGTTCCGACACCAGTGCCTGGCAATACACCTGGAATACCTGCAACTAATCCAGTGCCTTGGCCTAAAGCAGCACCTCCACCAAGCAGACCTAGAAAAATAAATATAATATTTAAGGTTGTAAGCTACAATAAAGTTTGGATGATAAATGCAATCAATAAAACCATCATAATTAATTTAACAGTGCAGTTTGTTGAAGGATTCAATTAAAGGTTGTTTTACCATATTTACGAGCTTTTGCCTCTGCATATCCTGCAAAGCATCAGAGTATTTAATTATTAAATATGACCTCACTTCATTATTGTAAACTTTGTTATACAATATGATGGTATGATTTGGTACCAATTCCAGAGCCGGGGAGTCCTCCAGCACCACCACTAGGAAGACCACCAACTCCACCGCCAGGAAGTCCACCAGTTCCTCCACCAGGTAATCCACCAAGTCCACCTCCAGGTAGCCCTCCAACTCCAAGTCCGCCTCCAGGTTGTCCACCACTCCCAAAACCTCCACCAGGTAGTCCACCAAGTCCAACACTAGACACACCAGCTGCTCCTCCAGTACCTAAAGTCCCACCAGGACGTCCAAGATGGGCTACAAAGGATTTATCAGTGAATATCAATGTCTTACATTACTTAAGGTTCTGTGACGGGGACTAGAATTTCACAAATTATATATGAAATAAAATCTGAGCACAGTGATAAATCACACTGTGATTTTATGTAAAAATGATTAGGATTGCATTTGGCTTGTGGGACACTAGTTGAGGAACCCAGATGTTGGGTATACAACATACACTAAATCATAAAGAGGCATGTTAAAATTATATTTCTTTTGAACTTAAAAAGAGCCAAATAACAGCCAAAAATTAAATATGGAATTTTGACGAAACTCAAAATATAAAAAAACCCTGTTCAAACACACCTTCCTGCAATTGTCAAGTAATCCTCAGCATCTTGGTTTAGGTGTGTTTGATTAGGGTTAAAGCTACGGTACTGTAACTCTCCATTAGCAGGATTGGCTACCCCTGTGCAAAAATGTGTATTTATGGACACAGTGAAGACTATTATAATGGCATTACTGTTGATTTGCCGTTACCAAAATCTATTTCATTGTAAAATGCAAAATGTAAAGTCGTACCATATTTTCTTGCTTTGGCTGCAGCATATCCTAAAATATGGCAGAAAAGTAGATAATCATGCTGTTAATGATAATAACTTTCAACAACAAAACGAGGTAATTTTCAAACTAAAATTATTTTTTTCTAGATACCTTCAGGACCAAGTCCAGGGATTCCACCAGTGCCAAGGCCACCCACTCCCAAACCAGAACCAGGAAGTCCTCCAGCTCCAAGACCACCCACTCCCAAACCAGAACCAGGAAGTCCTCCAGCTCCAAGACCACCCACTCCAAAACCAGAACCAGGAAGTCCACCAGTTCCTATCCCTGAAGCTAGAAAATAAAAAACCCAAAATTGTATAGAAATGAAGACGAACCTCTGTTTTTATATATGCTGCATGATAAACTTCAATCCAGAAAAATAAGCTTTTTTCATGTTTAATTTGTCTTTTTCTACTTTAACTGATTTTACAAGGCTTAATATTTAAGATTTGGATTCCCCCTGATACCTACCGTCATTTCTTTACACCTATAATTTTTCCATGAAAGAGACAGTTGTCAGTCAGGTGATTGTATATGACATGAATCTGTAAGTTTTCTTACCATACTTTCGAGCTTTTGCCCCAGTTCCTAATGAGAGACAATCCATGGATATTATAAGACTTGAGTAAATTTCAGTGTTTTAGATAATCCTTAAATATTTATCAGTTTGTAATAAATCATAAATTTACCCCCAGGATAGGTACCACCAGCTCCTGGATAAAGGACACCAGGAGTTGCACCGCCAGCTCCAGGAATTACTCCAACACCTGGAACAGCTCCTATTCCTGGCACACCTCCTGCACCAGGAATGCCATTTATGCCTGGCACACCACCTGCACCAGGTATGCCACCTATGCTTGGAACACCACCTGCACCTGGTATACCTCCTACACCAAGCCCACCACCGATACCAGGAACATCACCAGCCCCTGCAAGGAGAGTCAGCAATATCAAGCATGCCGTTTTTATACATATATTGAAATTCTTGTTCCTAAGAAAGTCTTACATTATTTTCCTGCATGACTTACCGTACTTGGCAGCTTTAGCCTGAGATTTTGCTGCACTTGTACCTTAAATGAAGTAAGAAAGTAAATTTCCATAAATACTCTAAAACTCTAAACTCATAAAGCAAATAAATTGATTTTAAATAATGAGAAGCTAATTTAATTGGCTGACAAGTATAATTTATGTTAGTTGATCTCAAATGTAAATAACAACAATGGATAAAAACATGCATACTACCTCCAGACTTTGGTGATATAAGAGGATATCCACGGAACACGCCTGGTATTTGTTGACCAAATCCTCCGCGGCCTCCTGCAAAAGAAAAGACAAGTGAGCTCTGTTAGAAGTAGTTTTGATACCTTTTATTGAAAGAACTGTTCACTCAGTAATTTATTTTACCATTAGCTCCAAGTGCACCTTGACCAAGCAGCCCTATAAACAACAAAATAGAAGACTGAGCCTCAGAAAACATTTTAATTGCTGGATAACGCTATCAATTATAAAACTATAAACCACATAAAGCTTACCAGTTTGAGATCCCGTTGCTACACCTGGCAGAATGCCTCTACCGCCAAAACCTACATATAAAAACAAAAATGTAGATGTCATATGTGTATGAATATTCTAGAAACAGTGGGAAATCTTGTAACTGTCATATTTCTAATATTTCAGTCACTCACCTTGTCCAGGAACTATACCCCCTTGGTATAGCCCAGGAATCCCAACACCTTGTTTGTTTGCAGAAAGAAAAAATATAAAACAATGCTTTCTTGTCAAAGATTTGATAAAACTATTTCAACAAAAGGGGAGTTCCATCAGTAGACGAAGTTACCTGGCACTGGTGCCTTCGCAGTCTTTCCGACTTTGCCCCCAGCGCCTGTCCCAGTTCCAGTTCCTGGTAAACCAGTTTGGGGGAGAAAAGGTGCTGGGAGCCATAATTAATTGAAAAGTTGCAAAGGTGAAAAGTTGCAAGCAACTGCAAACAGCAGTAGCTTAAGAGTCATGGCCCTCAAAACCTACCTACACCAGGCGCAACTCCTGCTCCTCCAATTCCAGTTCCAGTGCCACCAGTTCCAATTCCTACACCTCCAGGCCCAACTCCAGCTCCACCTGGTCCAATTCCTGTGCCAC